TAATAAAAAAAAAAAAAAAATAGAATAAGAAAACTGTTTATACATATTTTTTAAAAATAAAATTTCATTGTGTTTGCAAATTGTAAAACAAATAATCTATTCTGTTACATTTAGCTTATAATGAATAATAATCCATATTATTGAATTTTAATTTTTTAAAATTCATTTAATGTAGAAGTTTACTAATTTGAATACAATTTAAATTAAACTTTTTCAAATTATGTAATTATTTTAAAGTTTTTTTCTTATAATTTTATTCTCTTAAATAGAGAATATTTTTTGGTTCTCTCTTATTTTATATAATAATTATTAATATTTTAATATTTTTAGCTTATCGATGACTTATTAGATTTTGCATCCAGTCAAGTGCAAATGGGTAAGCCTACAACAGTTGATTTACAGTTAGGATTAGCAACTGCTCCAGTTCTGTTTGCTTGTGAAAAAGTAAGATTTCATGATCTTAATTTTTTTTTATTGTTGTTATAAAACAGCATATCATAATGGTTTATGAAATATTTTGGATTTGTAGTCAGAAGAAAAGAACAAAATTAATATACAAAAGAAATATTAACTATAAAAACAAAATCCAAAAAACAATGAACTATTTTAAAATTTCTAAAAAGAAGTAACATTTTTCTTAAAAAATATTGCTAAAGTAGGATCACTTAAAATTGGGGTTTCTCAAACGGGATCCCGGTTGTTTTTTAACCCGGGAAATCTCGCAAATTTCTTAAAAGTTCACTTTTTTCTTATTTTGTGTTGAGTAAAGTATAAGATTGAGTAAATTTTGCAAATAGAAAGCATAATTAACTCATTCACTGTCAGAATACATTTGTATTTATTAATTTTAAACCTACTTATTAGTTTTTTAAATTTTTCCTCGTTATGGCATGTCATAAATGGTCAATAATCAATATGTAGCTTATTTGTGGCAGGACTGTGAAATTTCTTGTCAGAACCTGTAATATCTGGAATAATTGTGCTTATGCTGTCTTAATTTTTAACCATGCCCGGTAGCTTCAATACCTGTGTAACGCCAGGTTGTGCAAATTAGGCAAGGATACAAATGAGTACGAAGTCTGCAAGTATGATGTTTTTCTTCATAAACCTGATTATTAAAGACAAACAAACTGCCGAATTATTGGGCTACAAACTTGATGTTTCTATTAAAGCAGCTGAGGTAGACAAATCAAGAATACTAGAAAGCAAAAGAAGTACTACAATCTCAAAAACAAACTAGAAATCTTCCAAGCTACAGGTGAAAAAAAACACATATCTGTCTTCTCTTAAATGCATTAAACACAATTCCACTCACATCAATTGAATTGGAAAGGGCTTCTCAGTAGCGGGACTTTACATTACTAAAATAAGAATCAGATTGAGTGATTGGAGTATTGACCATCTTTGCTTTTTAAAATCTTTATAAAAATTTACAATAATATTTTGTATTATGTGTTTTATTTAAAAAACGAAAATTACCTTTTAAGTTAGAAGTTTGATTTACGTTCATCTTTATTTAATTTTCAACTCAATTCAAAGCATTTTGTTGTTGTTGTTGTATGCATTTTTCAGCAAACTTTAATAAATTTTTTCTATTTGTGAAAATTTCTACATAATTCAAAGGTAATTTTTAATATATATCTTACGTAGCATTATTAATATGATTTTGGAGGTTACAGAACATATTAAACTACTCATAATTATTTTTCATTTTTTAGTCATTTGAGTTCAAGATATTTTGTATATCTTAAAAATAATTAATTCTCTCCCAGGAAACAGTTCACTTTTATCCCAGAATCCTGGGAAATGAGAAACCCTACTTGAAATCAACAGTGCCAATCTTTATTGTTGGTTACTCCATTGTTAAAAGATCATGAATATTTAAAGTTCTATAAATAATATACAAAGATGTCTTTTTGTGGCATCTCTATACAAAAATGAACACAATTTCACTATACTCTTATGTATCTTTTTCCAGATTCATTCTGCAAACAAAACAAGTTGGTTCTTTTAAAACTTTAACCACCAGCGAGCCAACTTGTGTTATTTGCCTAATTTTTAAAGGATGAAATAGATCTACAAATAAAGGTTGACACTACTGATTTCAAGTTATTGTATTTTAAGAACTTTAATATACATATTATTACAAAACCAATATATTATCTTATGAGCTATATTAGCTATTTGAATATGAATAAGTCTGTATTGTTTATTTCCGTCTCTTCTCAAAGAACTCTATTCTGTTTTGTTATTAGGACTCAATACCAATATTTGTTTTCAATGACATTATTATAAATTAAGAATAGACAACTTTTGAGCAGTTAAAATTTTATATTGATATGAATATTTTTGGCCATATTAATCTATGTTCCAAAGATTGAACTAAGATGAAATACAAATCTAGAGTACATGTAAACACAAGTGCATGTAAATATATAAAATATATTTATGTATATATGATTAGTATTTCATATTAGTTTAATTTTTGTTTTCAGCCATATGAATGATTCCATTCATTCAATTGAATATGAAGTTTTAACTATTCAAAGGTTACCTCTTTGTAATTTATTTTGTGTATCAGTTGTTTCATAACGTCATAATTATTTAATTTTGAAAATACCTTATCTTTTTGTAAAGTTTAATGTAAAAAAAAACCAATAATATATGTAATTATTAGAATGAGGAGAGTATTATCATAAAATAATTCAGTTGAAAGTTAAAAACATTCTTCATTCAAATCCATTTAGGTTGTAGATTAGTGCTCTACAACCTTTTCTGACACACATGAAATATAAAAGTTACAAAGTACTGGATTACCATTTTTAAATGTAATTATAAACTAATTTCAACCATTTTTATATTATCAATTTTTTCCTTAACAAATTAGAAACTACCTTGGACAAACTATCACATAGTGTTAGCATGAAAAGCACATGATCGGGATCTCAACTCTGTGATCTGTATATGTGACTTACCAAATTTACATGTGAAAAGTGATTGCAAAGATGTGAAAATTTGTGACAGAAGAGCTTTAAACATCAGTGGCAATAAACATATAATAAGCAAATAATTGTTCCTTTTGAATCAATGTGTATTTCTCATATTCATGTGCTTTTTCTGCCTCTTGGAGACAGGAGATATCATATCTAGAGCAGATAAGTCTTCTCAGGAACATAGAACTCCTGAGAAAACATATCTACTCTAGGTGTTTGATCTGATGAATATTACATAAGTTAATCAATTACTAGTTTAAATGTTGTAGTTAATAACAAGATGAAAAAACCAATTCTATATTTAAAAAACTAAAAGAGAAAAATTGTTAGCAAAAGAAATTGGACAACAACTAACTTATTAATATTAAAGTAACATAATGCATTTTATTACATTTACATAGAGATAAAAAAACCTATAAAAGCCAGAATTGAATGGGAGTCTATAAACTTTCTACTTAAGTGGATTTCTGTCTTACACACTTACAGATAATTCCATACTTTAGACAACACAAGGAACAATAGCTTTATGCCACTGTTCACTAGACTGCTTACAAATTTTTCATCTTTAGATTTCTAGTGTTTTGTTTGCCATTTTACATGCATTTTCATGCAAAATGGCAAACAGAATGCTAGTACTCATGAATTAAACATATTTCTCTCTAACGCCAATAGACAGTTGTTTGAATTATCTTTTATTATTAGTATTTGTCTTGTGGCTCAGAAAAGTATTTCACTAATTTCAATGAGCCTTCATGTGGTTATTCTGGGACACTAAAGCTGTAGGTTGCATTTTTTATTCAAGAAAATTGCTATTTTGGGTTGTAATCTAAAATTCAATTTTGGATATAGGAAATTGGTAGATATTGAAAAAACAAGTAATCTTCATGGATGTATCGTACAATCAGTTCAAAAAGAGTTAACCCTTGAATGACAATAACTAGATGAAATAAAAAATTATAAGAAAATTGAATAAAGGAATATTTAGCCTGTCTTTAAGCTAAATCTAAAAATATTAATTTCTAAATAAAATGTTCAAGAGTCATAATATTTACTTAAGTGAATGATGATCAAAAAGTATAGACTATTTTATTCTAATAGTTGGTTATTACAAATGAACAATTTCAATCACTTATTGATAGTATGCCAAAAAGAATAAAATTTTTAAAGACTAACTTCAGAGCAAATTTTTGTACATTTTTTTTTTCTTTTGAATTTTGTTTATTGGTTGGTTAATTATTGCAATCTTTTTTACAAATGGATCAAAAATTTTCATTTGGAAACAAGTCTAAGTGAGTTCAGGGTCAATCCAACAGCTTTATTTTTTAGATGTAAACCATTCTTTGGCTTGTTTGCAAGTATGAACTCCATCCTGCTGAAAGATCACATCATCAGATCTTTCATTGTTAGAATGAAAAAATATTTTAAAATATCACCATTTTCCATGTCCATATAGTGAAGTGAACTTCACATCATAACTTCAGTGTGAAATGTAATGATTTGTAAACAACCTGGATTGTTTGATAAGTAATAGTTGCAGAGTACTGACCTACAAGCATAAATGGATTTCAATGAAGAATGCTTTTTAATCTTTACCTGAATTATTTAATTTTGAAAATACTTTTATTTTTCTTGTAAGATTTACTGTAAAAAAATCAATAATATATGTCAGTGTTTTTCAACCTTCTTGAATATGCGACCCCTTTAGAAGTTAGAAAATTAAATACGTAGTTTTTAAAATCACTGATATAGTTTTAATATGGTCCTCGGGGGTCACCAGAATTTTTATTCTGTTGAGACCTAAACATTGATCAAAAAACCAATTGTATTGTAAAATAAACAGGTACAGCCTTCTCACTGAAATTGTAGTTTTTTTTTTATTGTAGTGTAGGACCTACAAACACTTGTCTTTTTCTTTTACCTGCAAAACCCCGTGTAAGGCTACCCACAGGTTGAAAAACACTGATATATGTAATTTTTAGTGAGGAGAGTATTATCAACAATCTGCATTGTTTCATATTTCAAGCGCTAAACTTTTCTTCCATAATTTAAATAAACACAAAACATATTTTTGTCACTAAAATGTCTTTTTGCCATTGATTAGATGTAAAGAACATGCATTTTTTGGTCTAGATTAATCATTTTTCTTTTTAACTTTTGTCAGATGAGGTTTCTTTTCTGGTTCAGCTTCTTTATAACCTATTTCCTTCAAATAATTGTAAACCATTGTTTTTGAAACTGGGATTTCAATTCTTGTGACATCTGTTGCAAGCTTGTATGTCTGTTTTGCTTACAATATTTCTAAGTGCTAATTTTTGTCATTTTTGAAGAAAACTTTGGATGACTAGTGTTTTTCAGCATTAAACTTCCAGTTTTATTAAATTTTTGAAATTTTTTTTGCACTTTAGTGAGGAAAGCATTTGCAGTCTACTTTCTTTGTGTAAATCAATAATTTTGGCTCTTTGATCCAGGTTTAATTGTTGTTTCTTGCCCATAATTTTTACCATGCTTTTGACAATTGCTGGATTGTAATTTATATGACACTGTGATGTAATTTACTGCAATTATGTAAATTGTAAGCATTATTATTTATAATTGGACAATATTTATTACTTTAAACTTTTTGAACTTCATTCACTCAAGTGAAGAATTATGACTCTTAGCTATAACACTATTTTCATCTAAAAATAATTTTTTCAAATTTTTTTTATTTCACCTAGTTATTGTCATTCAAGTTTGACATTTTGTGATACAGTTAAATTATTCTAAACTTTTTGAACTGACTGTATATTAAAAACTGGGGATATTTCTAGTTTCAGTTGAAATCAAAAAAATTGTCAAATGTGATAATTGGTAGAGTGCCTGTGTTCTCAGTTGCAGGAGGTTATTTTTTTATTTTTCACTATATTTAGCTGAAAATTACCATAGTTTATGTACTTATAATTTTGTATAAGCTTTACCATGAACTGTAATTTTGGGCATGCAAATCGTAGACCTGTGTGAACTGTAGTGTCATTTTTATATTAATAATTAGGATAAAAATCTTGTTATTTTAGGAAAATAGATTAAAATTTACAGAAAATTGATTCTTGAACTTTTTAGTTCAAGAATAAAAAAATTTGTTTTGAATATAGAATTTCTACAAATTACAATATTTAATTTCAGTATCCTGAAATGAACAATTTAATTATGAGAAGATTTTCTGAGCCTGGTGATGTAGAGAAAGCATACAAAATGGTTATAAATGTGAGTATTATATTTAGAATTACAAAATTAAACATGTATTTCATGATAAATTCATTAAACAGAGTGATGGCATTGAAAACACAAGATTACTAGCCAGAAAACACTGTGATGAGGCAGTAAAGAGTATATCTTCTCTAGAAGATACACCTGAAAAGAAGGCACTTATAGCTCTCACGCAATTTGTTTTAACAAGGACTCATTAGTTTATAGTGTATAGAATTTTAATGTTAATTATTATGATGATGAAATGTAATTAGGTAAATATTAAATTGGAAGTTTTCTAGCTAATATAAATGAATAAAATTGTTAATTGTTAAATTTTGATAAGAACAGTATATGATCATGTTTGATGAACAATATCATTGTTGTTAAATAAGAGGTTAATTAGTATATGTCTAAATACTAGTAAAAAAGTCATTTGAACATTTTGATGTTTATATGTAGAATAATCATAATGAACAAACCAAGGTTTTTTTTAACATGAATAAAATTGAAGTATTTATGATAATACATTAGACAATTTTCTATAAATGAATCTAAATTTTAGTTTACTACTACAAATTCTTCATAATAATTTTTAATCTGGGCGAGTCAATACTTTGACTTATGAGATTTGAAACTGCCGATATGACATGATCAACAACTAACACTTGAATTTTCTATAACATTCATAAATTTATTTATCTAGTTGCTGATATTTTTCAACAATGCTTGAAATTTGGTCACAGCCTCCCATACAAAGTTATGTAGTGGATAAGTGATTCATTAGTTGTGGTCATTGGATCACATATTAAAATATGTGAATTATAGCAAATTAAGCACAATAAGGATAATATAAATGAGAATATTATATTTAAGGAACTTTTGTGCAAATAATTTTACCCGGAGTGTGGTGCAACTAGTATTAACAAATTTTGAGTAGTTTTTGATGGCATTTTGCAGAAACAGAATATCATTGAGTGCATTTGTTTGCTACACATCTGGAGAGGATTTTTTATAAATGATGTAACATGTGGACAGCAGTTGAAAATATATAGGTACAGGCAGAGCTTGCAATTCCAATGTCATTTCCAATTTTGTTTTGATTTACCATTGTATGCATCAAGAGGGTTTTGAAAATCCATCACATAAGCTCATTGCAATGAAATGGCAATAGATATCATTATTGTCATATTATGTTATTACTTTGCATTGCCTTTCTTATAATATCCTGAGGAAGTTAAGAATTTGCACTCATTGGAGAACTCATTGACACAGTTGATAATGGGCAATGTATCCCAGAGTGATTACTGGCAACCAAATTTGGTCTCTCTTGTACAATCCATAGAGCAAACATATTTCATTGACACAGAAATCAACCTTTTCACCAGTGCATAGAAACTCTGATCTGTAGAGATAAAACAGAAGTAATGCTCATGAATTTTTTTTGATTCATTAAGAGTTTGTTCTTAATGGTAGACTGAGAATATTAATATAGGATTCCTTGTTAGTCACATCCACAATCATTTTCATCTTATTATGTCATGTCTGGCAAGAAAAAAGATAAATTCTCATATTTTTGCTTGCTAGATATTTAGAACTAGGATGCAAATACCAGTGGCCTCTTTCTCAATAGGACTTCACACCCACAGAAGCTTTATCAAAAGGCCCCAGATTTAAATTAGAAGGAATCTTGAAAAGTGCTTAACCCTGAAAAAATTTGACTGAGAAGGGATGATAATCCAAAAAATGTCAAATTTTTTCCCATTAATATTTACAAATTTGCAAAAAATTAGCACTTACAATGTTTTTCTAAAAATATTTATTTATATTAGAATAATTTTAAAATAATTATTTTTGTTGGAAAAAAGACTACCAAAAAAATTTACATAAATGCTGTCAGATTCCAAAAACAAACTGCATTTTCTAGCCAAAGATGACATTGTTACAAAAATTATTTTATCATCTATTGGAGAAATAGTGAGAGAAATATTTAACAGCCATAACTGCATCAGATGTTAAAATAAATACTTTTAGAGCATTTTTCACAACAAACATATGACATACATCAAAGCCAAAAAAGCATTCACTACATATGAATGTGTGTGATGCGGCAGTGACTGAGGAGGAGTTAATGATTGACCCAAGAAAGCAATGAAGAATGAATTGCAAACATTTGTAGAAGGTACTGTTTTGAAAGTGGTCTTTTGTAACTACTATTACTATGATTATGTTGTTATTTTTGGCTACCATGTATAAAGGCATTGCCAAATGAATTCAATTCCTAATGTACAGTACAGTACAATGCAAGATAATTTCATTTTATAAATTCAATATATACAGATTCTATATATCATTCAACTTTAACATAGTAAGTATACCAAATTCTGTTTTTACACAAACTTTTTTAATACTATTTTGATTTAATAAAAGAAAATTATTTTTAAAAATTGTAACATATTTCATTAAGACAACTCATGTAAAGTCATATAAAACTTTTTGTATAATTTTTTGCAAAACACATTTTTTTAATAAAAAATACAAAGTAAAGGTTGTCTTGATCTAGCTAACAAATTAGGCTCATACTTGACAAAATGATTACCCAATGAAGAATAAACTTAATGTTATCTTGTAGAGAATTTTATAAAGGCCTAGCCACAATACGAACTGAGCCATTAATAACTGAATTTGTTCATAACACCACCAACATCAGCACCACAGGACATTACTGCTAATGTTGTTCAGGAGTTTACAGAAAGAACATGGTAGCCGAGCATTTTTAGCAATAGTAGTGGTATTGTAGTCATGTGCAAATGACAGCGAATAAAATTTTATGTATAACTTACATTAATGAATATAAAAATTGGACAGAATGTTTTTCAAATGAAATTTATGTTCCTATAATTCATATACATTGTACATTAAAAAAAAATCATTACATTTTTATTTGTTAATCAAATTTTATATGAAAAATCTTGTTAAATCTGATTTCGTTATTTTTGGTTATGAACCTAAGAAATCAACAATCTTCTAATTTCCATATATACAATTAATTTCTGGAAACCAATCTATCATTTAAAAACAGAATTAGGTGTAATTTGTTTTCCTCATTTGAAGAATATAAAGTAGCAATTGTTTTAGAAGTACAGGTTTATCAGGCATTAGTCTTTTATTGTTCTTCACTGTTTTAAACAAAATAGCCACTGTCTGTTAAAATCCAAATTATATAAATTTCAATAAACAAAAACAGAAAATATATTCAATTAAATTTAGTTCTAAATTATTTAGTCCATTATATAATTGCAATTTATTTATAATTTTAAACCCAAAACACTCCTTTATTGCCAAAACACTAATTAATTTAAGTATCATTTTCTCAGGTAGTTCATCAAATAAGAGTTTGCCATTGTTTCTCTCCTAACAGGCTTGTTTGTGCAAAACTATTTGAGATAGTAATATTTGTTAGTGAGCTTCAATGCTGCTTTGAGTTTATATAATAATAATCAGTAAATGATTTGTAGTACTAAACTAACTGCTGTTAATTTTAGAAAAACTTTTTATGTGAAATGCATTTAAACATTAAAAATTTTGACGACATTTAGAATTATATTTTAGTCTATGGAAAAGAGATCAAGTGAAAAAAATGTCACTCCAAAAAAAATTCCCAAATTTTCTCAGTCAATAAAAGATCCCAATCTGGAAATGCTGGGTGCAGTGCATGAAAACTGCCCTCGATTCTCGACATCAATTTCTATTTTCCTGCTCAAACTTACTATGTGACATCATGAAAAAGCTAATTGTGTAGTACAGTAGACCCCCTATAAAATGGGTTCATATAATATGGATTCGTATAATACAGCAAAAAAATTACAATCGTATAATACGGTAAAAAGTCATCATCGGTGACTCATGTTGCAATAGGATTGGTCGAAGCTAGACCAATAGCAGATATTGCACAAACTCTTGAGTTTAAATGAGCAGTGGACCTACTAAAAACCATTTATTATTTAACGGCCATAAAAATTATATTCATATTAATCATGTCTCCAAAGTTAAGCAAATTTTTTGCAGAAAAATAACTTATCAGGAAACGTGCCTGCCGTTCAATGCGCCACTCCACAACGAAAACAAGCTTAAGCAATGGCGTTGTCGAACAGTGCACACTCAGTAAGTAATTTTACAATATTTTGTTTATAGCATAGTTTATGTGGATTATTCCCAAAAAATTATACATGTTTTGGAAATGTTGAGTCAAATTAGTCTAGAATTGATTAATTTTATGGAAGAAAACATTTCAAGCAGCCGTAGTCCCTAAACTGCACATGTGCCGGGCTGTGGCTGGCTCATGTATACAGTCGACCCCCCTATAATTACGGTCCCTATAGTTACGATTCCTATAAAACTACGAAAAAATTGCTACCGGTATCTGTAAAAAATAGTAAAAGTTTCCTATAAACACCTCAAACATCATCGGGAAGCCGAACTACTTTCCCGCCGTCCGTAGCGCCACGCTACGGAGAGATTTCTATCGTCTGGACAGTATTATATAAATTATATATAAATTAGGTACTGTACATATAATTATATATTAATTATATATAAATTAGGTACTGTATATATAATTATATATTAACTTATTGTAACTTTGTTATAATTAAATATATAATTTCCGCCGTCTAGCGTGGCGCCACGCTACGGAGATTTTTACGCTAACTATCGTCTGTCAGTATGTAAATTAGGTACCGTAAGTCTAATACAGTACTGTAATTTTATACATTTCTTGTGAAAGAAACATTTCTTATTCAACGGCGATTAAAATTATTTATAT